GAGAGAGAGAGAGAGAGAGAGAGAGAGAGAGAGAGAGAGAGAGAGGTGACTAAATTATTCTTTGAGAATTTGTGCCCCATCTCTTGAGTAAAGTTCTTTCTCAAAGCTCTGAACTGAGATGGCTCGCTTGCATTGGCGCGCGGGCGACCTCTAGCGGCGGCCTGCGTCCTCACCGGAGAGACACAGCTGTCTTCCCCCGCCCAGGCCGGGTGGAATCCAGTTCAGCCTCTATCACTGCGGGAGTTGTCCCAGGCCGCCGCGCGGAGAAATGCGCCTCTGTTCGGGTTGGAAACGAATCTGGGGACGTGTCTGAAGCGCGGTCAAGTTTGACTCATCGCTTTCCAAGGACAGTTAGTGCCTTCCATCTTCATTAACGTGAATAAAGACCTTGGCTGACTTCTGTCTAGATCGAATTTTAAAAGGCATTGTTTGCTTGGGGAGATCATGCGTCTCTCTCCTGCTCAACAACACCGCCCCCACCCCATACCCCAAGGCCGATCCCAGTCCAGCCAGGATGGGGGAAGAGATCTCTGCTGAAGGACATGGTTTGCTGGCATTGTCTGCAGGCCTTCTGGATGCTGTCTTAGCCAGGTTCATGGGGAGCATCCCCTCGGCTCTTCAGATCTTGATGATAAAACACATCCCTTTGTTTTATTTTATTTCCTCGAAGTTTGCAACCTTGCAAGAGCTCTGAGGCAGGACATGTAACAGAAATGAAAGTCAGGACATAAAGTCCTCTGGTTAGTTCACGCAACTGAGGAGGCCATCGCAAGACCAATATCTCTTATCATCTTTCGTGTCATCGCCACCGAGAGGCAAGAGCAGCAATATTGTCCTCCTCTGCCTCCAGAACAGAAGCAACGCTTTGACTCTACCCATTATCTCCAGAACGCGGTGGCTAGACCTGAGTACCCTGTTAGGAAAGAGCAGTCCTGTTGGAGCCCAGAGGCATGTTTCAATGCGTCAGCCCCGAACCCCCACCCCGCCTTATTCAAACTCCTTGTCCCTAGACAGTGAATTACACTTTGAGAAGCCTCTTGAGAGTCTTCGGCGAGCTATTGGAGTTATTAGATTACCAATAATCCAGCAACCATCCTGGATAGAGAGAAGTGGAAAGGCGTTCTCCAAATCCAGACACTGGCCAAACTAGGTCAATGGGAAGGAGGGGCGGACCGAGCAGCCAGCTGTAGTTTCAAACCTTGATGGAGGGCTCTCTCTAGCGTCAGGACGGGGTAAATACATCATTGTGATTGCACTTGTAAGAAGTGCGGTAACTCCTCAGATATTCTCTCCGGTCCCGTTTAAAAAAGGACGAGGAAAACAGAAAACAGGATCTTAAGAGCAGAGAGACCCCATCTCTGGGGTGCGAGCCTGACCCCGCCTCTGCGGCGCAGAGCTGCAACCCGCTACTTTTAGGTATGGACTAGGTTGTGCCGATTCCGCCCCAAAGACGCAAACTGAGAGCACTTAGTGGGTGGTCACAGCGGGGGACATTCCTGAGAAGGAGAGACAGCCTTGCGGGGTCTTAGAGCTCGGACAGCAGCCGGCTCGGTTACCCAGTCTCTACGTTTTTCGGGAAAATAAGATTCTGAAATCCCGGAGCCTGTCTGGCTTCAGCGTGGTAGCTCTGGCTCTAAAGAAGGCTGGGCGGAAACCTCCCCTTTCTTGCCAACGTAGGCGGAAGAGACTTTCAGTTTAGTTTTCTTTCAGGTTTAGTTTTCTTCCCATTCGGCCAGGTCTAGAAGGATGGGGACCCTTACTCCTGGGGGACTCTATCTCTTTGACCTTGACTTGTTACCTACACATTCTCTTCTAAAGCCGGGGAAAAAATAGCAAACTAGAGGACAAAAAGAAACCCCAAGAAATAACATCAAACCCTCAAACAACAACAAAACAAAAGCAAACAAACTCCAGCTATCCAGTTGTCAGAATGGGGCAAACTGGAAATCATGGAGCGAGCCTCGGACTGTTTCCAGGCTCTTGGGCTCCACACTCTGCGGTTTTTAGCTTGTTGGGGCAGGGATGGGGACCAGGTAGACTCCTCGGGCCTGGAAGCCAGAACCCATGTAGAAGGCGGATTTAGGGGAAAGGGTGCCCTGTCCCCGGCCAATGCTGCGCAGCCAGCAAACCCGGATTGGGCTTCCTGGAAAGTTACTTCTCGTTGGAGCCCGCGCTGGGCAGGAGTGTTCTATGAAATCCTCAGAGCTGAGGTCGACTACGTTCCGGGAATGAGAGGGCTGTGCCATTCCCCTCGTGGCCCCCTGCTTTGACAGAGTAACAGGAAAAAAAAAAGTCGCACATAATGTTAGCTACCGACGTTCACGAAAACATTTATTTGAATGTAACCAAATTAAGCGCCGTTACAGTCCTACCACCCGGCCCTGGCCGCACCTTCCCGGGTTTCGTGGCGGATGGGCAGCGGTGCCAACCGATCGCCAGGGGGTGGGCGGTCCCAGGAAGACAGGTACAGACAGCCAGGTGCGGTGAGCGAGTCTGCGCAGGCTTGCCAGGTGGCGGGGCTGGGGTTTGTGCCGGTGCGTGTGAGCAAGCAGTGCGACTGCCTAGTGCCACCTCGGCCCAAAAGGGAAGGGAAAGGATGAAGTCTTTGGCGTTGGCTCCTTTGCTAGCTCTTCCTTTGCCTCTCAGATCTCTCTGCTTGTATGTCTCTCTCTCTCTCTCTCTCTCTCTCTCTCTCTCTCTCTCTCTCTCTCTCTCCCTCCCTCTCACTCTCTCTCTCCAGCCCCTTCTCTCTCTGTCTCTCTCTTCCTCTGCCCCGTGTTCCCAGTTCTGCTACCTTCTTTGCCTGTTTTTTTTTTCTCTCTCTCTCTCCCCTCTTTTCCCTCCCAATGGAAGCTCCTCTAGAGAAGCTGTCTCACTGAGTGCACACGAGGAAAGCGCCCCTGGAGGGAAAGGATGCAGGGCTGGGTTAGTCATCATTTATTTCTTAGTTGGGGATTACTGCAGCTGGACCTGTAGTTAGAGCGGAGATCCAGTTCTGGTTCCTTTCTCCTTGCTGGCCTGATTCTCCCTGGGCTTGTTTTCCTAGAACCTTGTTGGAGGATGGTTTTGAGATCTTGGGCAAGGGCTTGTTCCTGGAGACTCGGTTTCCTCCATAGTGAATCCTGACCGTTAGAAAGATAAGGTGCAATGATGGGTGGGAAAGGACTGAGCGATTTGTGATCCAAACAAGCTGAATGCTGGTTCGCAGAGCTTCCGTGTCTGCAGCGCCTGGAGGGAGGTGCCATTCAGCTAGAACATTAGCCGGCACCCTGGGAGTTGTGGTGGGGCCTGCTGAGAACAGTTGGCTGATAGAGAAGTGAATCCTAGAGCCCAGTGACTCCGCAGAGCCCAGGCTGCCTTGGTCTGTGTGCAGAAGGAGACAGGCTGAAAGGAAAAAGCCCAAGGCCAGCCTGACAGTGGACGGAGCAGGACTGCCTTTTCGGTTTGCTTTCGGTCTGTCCTCATCTGGAGTGAGTCATTGCCACTTGTCATGGTGAAATGGCAAATCTGGGCTTCCTGTGGTTCCAAAAGTCTGTGACTGGAAATCCACAAGTGGTTGAAGCTCAGCACAAGTATTCCAGAAGGGTTTGTGGATCTCTTCCACGGGGAAGCAGGAGAAAGTTAGTAAATAAAGGTCACGTGTCTGCAGCATTTATTTTCAAAAGAGACAGTTTATTGAAGTTCCCTGAGGCCCAAGTGAAACCTGTTTCCTCACTCTGAATTGGAGTGGGTTCAGGAAGAACTAAGATCTTTGTCTTTTTCTGCCCTCTCTCTTCCCCCCATTTCCTACCCCAAACCCACTCACTTACACACACGTATTAAGCTTGAAGTTGATGAGATTGACTGACTGGCACAGAGAAATATCTGAGTGGTGGTTACAGACTCAAGGAAACCTCTCATTTTAGAGTGCTCATTTGGTAAGACTCAGCCCCATGGAATGGGGCAAAGTTGGTGTGGGGGAAGGAGCTTAAAACTGAGATTCACCCACCTCAGGGTGCCGCTGTCCTGCGTTTTTTGCAGCACGTAGGCTGACTTGGAAAGAGGACAGGAATCTAAGCCAGAAGACTAGGGCCAGGCCATCAGTGATCCATGGCCCGACATGACCTCACTGGCCTTAGGCTACCTTACGGGGGAAGCAGTTCTAGAGAACTGTGCTGTTTAAATGGGAGACCAGAGTTCCGATATTTTATCACTCCGCTTTGCGGCCCGCATCTGATCATCAAGGAGAGTCTTGCACCTACGTTCTTAATGATTTTTGTTTTAGAGAAACCAGTCTGGAGGGAGCACATATTTCATTAAATCTCTTTAAGGCTCCCTGGCCAGTTCTCAGCTAAACTACACAGTTAAATCTTTCACCAGCCAGGAGAAGGCCAAACTTGGAAGCTATGGTCAGTTGCCTGTCTAGTTTTAGACCTGGAAATAGAGGGAGGGGAAACTTTGAAAAAGAGGGCAAAGATACGCAAGGAATGCGCAAACATGATGTCTCGGGTTTTATTCTGTAGACTTGGTATTCAGTCTTAAGTGTTCCAGAGAATCAGGAGATACTGCCTGGCTGTTTGTCCTGAACAAGTCATTTGAACCCTGAGTCTCAATTTCATCACCACTAAAATAAGGATAAAGATATTGGCCGTATCAGCCTTGTGGAATCATTCTAAGACTTGAAAGATAATATTTTTAGCAAGGGTTTGAATAGCATCCAGTGTTTTTCGGTCCCTGAAGAATCATTATCATTAATATTGAAAGGGCTACTTATTTTTTTTTTTGTTTCCCATAAACTCAAATGGTCTTTTGATGTATATGGCTTTTTTTTTTTTGCCCTGGGAAAGGAAATATATGTATACAGGTATATGTAATTAATGTAGGCAATGGTATTCCCGGCAGTAGGGATAAGGCATTGTTACCAAATGGCTTTGAGTGCCTGTTGTTTCTATAAGCACAGAGATGGAATATGTTTGCTAGCTTGTGGGAAAACCGCACCAGCTGGCAGGCTGCAGCTATCAAAGCAAAGCTAACTACGTGTGTCCTAAAATAAGACCGAGTGGACAATCTTACACTCATTTAGCCAATCTCTGTTTGCTCTCTTCTCTGCAGTTTTAAAGCAAAATTTTGGACTGTGAAGCGAGGCATTGGGTGAGTAAAATCAAATTGTATGCTGCAAGATTTGTAGATGAATTATTTCTTTTGAATTTCACCCATGCATGTGTGTTTCTGTTTAAGCTTGCCACCTTTCGCTTGCTGAACGAAGGGTAGTGACTTCCCTCTGTCTAGATCTCGTGCTCACCCCTCTGTCCCGATACTAACCGACTAAATACCGTTGCGTGGTATTCGTTCATCCCTCCTTCGTTCCCAGTTCAGGCTAGCCTGGTTGCCTACTTGGCCAGTGTTTGCTAGTGCTAAGTATTCAAATTCTCGAACAAATCAACTCACAGTCCCAGAGCATGGGATGGATAATGAAACGACAGGCAGATAAAAATAGCTGCACTTTTTTTTTTTTTTAAAGAACCTGTTATGGTCTAGGCACATATTTCTAATTTTAAATACCACATAGGTATTACCCTTCCTATTTTGGAAAACCAAAGCCCAGGAACAGTAACAACACACTCCACGTCATAGAGCCGGTGAAAGGCAAAGTGAACTGGGTAACTCTCCAAGAGTGGTTTTCTTCATTGCAACATACTCACTGCCTCTCAATGCTTGGCAGTGTCTTTAGTATGTGGGAAAAACACTTAACAAACAGTCCTTCCCTTCCCCTTTCCCCTAAAGAGCTTTCTACCTTAGCTTTTATTCTCCCTGTTCGACAGCTATAAATAGAAATGTTCAGAAATGGACTAGGAATTGTCCACTAGATACCTGAGTTGCGTTCTACACCTTAGCTTGCTAAACCATCCTCTGTTTCTTTTGGTAAGCAGGGAGTAGGTTCTAGAGGACTAAGAGGGATTTAATTTCTGTTCAGGCGAAGACAACATGGCCTCACCGGCTGACAGCTGCATCCAGTTCACCCGCCACGCGAGTGATGTTCTTCTGAACCTTAATCGCCTCCGGAGTCGGGACATCTTGACAGACGTTGTCATTGTGGTGAGCCGTGAACAGTTCAGAGCCCATAAGACAGTGCTCATGGCCTGCAGGTGAGTGGTGTTGGAGTGAGGGGTGACTTTTTAAAATGGGGAGGTAGGATTGGCAGGCGCCAGCGAGACCAATATGTAGGCCGTTCCTTGCGTCTGTGATGATATTCCCTTAGTCTCCAGATCTCAGCACCTGGCCTGGTGTTCTGGACTTTCAGGAAACAATTGAAGGAACACGCCTGTAGAGAACAGTTTCTGTTTCGAAGGCATAGGGGGTGAAGAAATGTACTCTCAAAGACACGAGGCGTCTGAAGCCCGCAGGGAGGCACATGCTGGCTAACTAAAAGAAATTCAGTTAACTAATTTGCGGATGAATAGCAAAGGGCAGGTTCTAAATACTTTAACTAAGCTCGATAGCTTTTGCCCTTTTATGCCATAACTGTACTTTATTAACAAAATATTTTTTTGAAACAGCTTTAAACACATTACTTAGCTAAGGCTGGCCTTGAAATTCTGATTTTAAATTCTCTTACCCCAAATGCTGGGATTGTAGGTGTGAACCACCATGCCCAGATTATTGGACTTAACTTATACTATAACTATATTTCCATGGTTTAAGCAGAGTCTAATAATTCTTCATATTTTCCTGAATTTCAAGTTTCCTGGGTGTTATCATAGTAAGTCAATTCTAAGCTCTCCCTACAAGCTGTCTCTTGTGGAGGGCACCATGTCTCCATTTTGCAGATAATGAAGCAAGGCACAGGTCTATGTAGTGATGTACAGCTCTGTGTTGCAATTAGAGAAAGTAGCTAATGTCTAATAATAGCACTTCAGAAATAATGTGAAGGGCTGGCTGGTGAGATGACTCAGGGGGTGAAGGCACCTGCCACGGAGCCTGATGACCTGAGTTCAACCCTAGGACCAACATGGTGGAAGGAGAGAAGTAGCTCTCACATGCTGTCCTCTGGCCTCCTCTCCCATTCATAGCATATATACACACACACAAAATAAAAACTTAAAATACAGAGAACAGAAATGTGTACAGATATAAAATAATCGCTAGTGTTTGCTCTGTGCCAGGCATCAGTGTATATGGCTAACAGTTTTCATTTTTGCCACACTTCTATTAAGCACACACAATTCTCCCCTTACCTTGGCAGAGAAGGAAACCAAGGTACAGAGAAGTTAAGGGTATTAGACAAGGTTGAAGAATTGCTTGTTGGGGAAGGAAGGTCCGGTTCATTTCTGGCAACCCACCCAGAAACAGTAAAGTTGAGATGACAAGCTAGTCAAGATTTCTAGTTTTAGCTGAATAGACGACATGACCTGAAGACAAGGCTTGGGATTTGACTCAAATCGTCTAGTAACAATTGACCTTCTGATAATCCTTGGCCTTTGAGAAAGATGGTGGAACATACGGATGTATTATTATTTGTCACCCGGCCCTAATTTGCGCCTCATGCCATTGACTGTTTAAAATAAGGGTATTGTGGCGAAGAGAGGAAAGTACTTAGACGAAACTTAAAGTCAGAGTAGTGGCTGCGGATGAGGGCTAAGTCAGACAACAGGAAAGCGGTGCCGTGATTCGAGACTGTTTCCCACACTCTGCGAATTCAGTTTCCCCATTTGTAAAGATGGAACTTAGTGGTACATATCTCACAGGATTAGAAAGGACAGAGGTTAATGTAAACATGCAAGATGCTTAAAGAATTCCTGATGTGGGAGGGCCTTCTGTATATGTGTTGCTTTTATTGGTTGATGAGTAAAGCTGTTTTGGCCAATGACTTAGCAGAGTAAAGCCAGGCAGGAAATCCAAACAGAGATATATATAGAGAGAGTAGGTGTGAAATCAAAGAGATGCTATGTAACTGCTGAAGGAGAAAGATGCCAGAACGCTACTGGTAGGCCACAGCCTCGTGGAGATACACAGATCTGATAGATGTGTTAATTAAAGATGTAAGAGCTATCTAAAAATACACCCGAGCCATTGGTCAAACAGTGTTGTAATTAATATAGCGTTGTGTGACTGTTCGGATCTGGGTGGTCGGGAAACCAAAGCACAGTCCCATCCACAAATTCCTGGTGTCTGCTAGGCTTTCCACAGGTAGAAGATATTAGTAGGTGCCATGGAGCTTAGGGATCTGGGCTCTGGGAAGACAAGAAAGACACAGATGCTTTGTGACCCCTACAGTTGCACCTCTGTTTGTCTTGCAGCGGCCTCTTCTACAGCATCTTCACTGACCAGTTGAAGTGCAACCTTAGCGTAATCAATCTGGATCCTGAGATCAACCCCGAGGGGTTCTGCATCCTCTTGGACTTCATGTATACATCTAGGCTCAACCTGCGGGAAGGAAACATCATGGCTGTGATGGCCACAGCCATGTACCTGCAGATGGAACACGTTGTGGACACGTGCAGGAAGTTCATCAAGGCCAGGTGAGCTGCTCTATAGATAGCAGCTGGGGATGCAGAAAGGATACTTCCAGAACAGAAACCACACCTGCCACGGGAGCCTCAAGGACACATGACACCCACCTCGCTACAAAAATTGCACTTTTCTCCCCTTTATTCATATACTCCAGGCAGATGCCATTCCTTGCAGCAGGCCAGATGTGTATGTCTTGGGTACCCTCCACCCCCCCCAACACCCTGCCCCATTTTCTTTTAGTCTCTCTCCTTCCACTCACCCTGCAAGGCCAGAACTGGATGCCTTTTCCGCGGAGGTTCAGCTGACTCCCTCGACTCCTCTGTGTTTGGCAGGCAGCATTTTTTGCTTTCCCTTCCAACCTTCTCGTAACGTTTATATGCATATGTGGGCTCTCCTTTGGATTTCTACCGTAACTATTTACATATGTGCCTTAGTGCCCTACCAGAGCACAGGCCGCTGGAGTGTATGTGGCTGCCTTACTCTTCATCCAAATAGCCACGCTCCCGCTGTGAGGACGCGTAAAGAACTGAATCGAGTTCACTTGGTCGAACCCTTACCCAAGGAGTGGGAGTACCATGAACATCCGTGGAGGTCGAGGGTCCTGAGAGCTGAGGAAGTGGAGAGCCTTGCTAACTATAGCAGCTACTCGAGGCTCAACTGCCTCAGACTCTCTCGCCTTGGCAGCTTCAGGAAAGCGGCCTTCTTTCTTAACAGAAGCCATTTCCAGTCTGCGTCTGACCACTTCCAGGGACTAAGAACTCGTGTCCTCAGCGCCATACCATCCACCTGGGGTAGCTGGAAAGTCGCTCCTTACAGCCTCTTAAAGTCTGGCTCTTGGAGCCCTCACTCTCTGATTCTGTTAGCCGGAGAGCCGGTTGAGCTGGCCTACTTTTTTCACCCACATAAGTCCCTTTAAGTATTTGCAGCCAATGTTTTTGTCTCCAGTGGGTGATAATGGCGGCGAGTTCATCATTGCCTTCATTTGGGAGTACTTTATACAGGCCAGGCCTTGTGCTCCCAATAGTTAAGCAACTTGCTCCAGGTCAGAGCTGTGTTTGCAAACCAGGCCAGGCTGCTCCAGAACCAGAGCTTTTTGCACTGGTCACTGCCTGCCCTCCTCCTCTGTGGACTTGCCAGTGCATCTGTTGAACATATGGGCCAGGTCTTTTAGTTGATATTCTCCGAGTGAATCGCACTAACATTGCATACATTCTTCCCTCCTTGCTTCTGTGTGTATAACATGCCTGCCTTTTGCTGCAGGATTTTGCTCGAACGATTTATCTCATCGCTTGAAATGAGATAAGGGCCTTAAACGCTTTGTGTAGCCCATCCAATTCTACGTCACCAGAAGAGTTATAGTTCCCAAGACATGCATACGTATGTGCCTCGCATTTGCAAGGTCAGGTCCAGTCAGACACAGAATATATGAGTGACTCATCTTCCTCAGTTTCCCCAACTATGGCCCTATTGCTAGACCTCTGAGTATTAATGCCCTATAGTTGTGTTACCCACTCCAGAGTCAAATCTTCAATGTCTAGCTGACTCAGACCCAGAAGTGGTTATATAGCAGTGTCTCTCTGGAAGGTCACCTGATTAACAGTTCTAACCTGGGGTCTTTGTTTTTTAACCCCCACAGCGAAGCAGAAATGGCCCCGGCACTTAAGCCTCCCCGAGAAGAGTTCCTGAACAGCCGGATGCTGATGCCCCATGACATCATGGCCTACAGAGGGCGTGAAGTCGTGGAGAACAACCTGTCGCTAAGAAATACTCCTGGCTGTGAGAGCCGAGCCTTTCCCCCTAGCCTCTACAGTGGCCTGTCAACACCGCCAGCCTCGTATCCTATGTACAGCCATCTTCCACTCAGCAGCTTCCTTTTTTCTGATGAAGAGCTACGAGATGCCCATGCCCGCATGCCTGTGGCCAACCACTTCCCCAAGGAACGGACCCTCTCCTGCGACAGTGCCAGGCCAGTCCCCGGTGAATATAGCAGACCGGCCATGGAGGTGTCCCCCAGTTTGTGCCACAGCAACATCTACTCACCCAAGGAGGCAGTCCCAGAGGAGGCACGGAGTGACATGCACTACAGTGTGACTGAGGGCCCCAAGCCTGCTGCCCCCTCTGCCCGGAACGCCCCATACTTCCCCTGTGACAAAGCCAGCAAAGAAGAAGAGAGACCCTCTTCGGAGGATGAAATCGCCCTGCATTTCGAGCCCCCTAATGCACCCTTGAACCGCAAGGGTCTGGTTAGTCCCCAGAGTCCCCAGAAATCTGACTGCCAGCCCAACTCACCCACAGAGTCCTGCAGTAGCAAGAACGCCTGCATCCTTCAGGCCTCTGGCTCCCCGCCGGCCAAGAGCCCGACTGACCCGAAAGCCTGTAACTGGAAGAAGTATAAGTTCATTGTGCTCAACAGCCTCAACCAGAACGCCAAATCGGAGGGCACCGAGCAGGCAGAGCTGGGCCGCCTCTCCCCTCGAGTCTACCCTGCCCCACCTGTCTGCCAGCCACCGTTGGAGCCTGAGAACCTTGGTCTCCAGTCCCCAACCAAGCTCAGTGTGAGTGGGGAGGACTCAACTATCCCCCAAGCCAGCCGACTCAACAACATCGTGAACAGGTGATTTCAGAGGCCATGGGTCTAAGGTCACCCTTCTGAGCTTCTCAGCCTTGGATAAATGTAGAGTGCAGGGCTATTAGGTTTTCTGTCTGAAATGCTGAGGGGAACTAGTACGAGGGTGAGTTAGCCTGAACCATGAAGCATAGTTCATGGAAGTTGTATTTTTGTTTCACTTTCTTTTGTTTTCCATAGCAAGAGAGAGCATTGCCTTATGTGGGAGAAAAGCATTCCACAAATCCCAGAGGCACCTCCTGTGGTCGTGATGGATCAGGGAACCCTCCTTTTAGACCGAGAGAGGCTGTGGGCTTAGGAGAAGCAACTAGGCCTAGAAGTGAAAGTTAGGCAGTTGTTGACACCAGTCAGCAGAAGAGGGCTTGAGGAGGGCTCTGACCCTTAGAACGGCAGAAGGCAACTGTGATCTCTGGGCTTGCCTGAGCATACAGAGAGAGGTTAGCATGGAGAACATGTGGACTACTATTACTGGTTGCTGACACCCTTTGTTTCTGTCCACAGGTCCCTGACAGGCTCCCCCCGAAGCAGCAGTGAGAGCCACTCGCCACTTTACATGCACCCCCCAAAGTGCACGTCCTGTGGCTCCCAGTCCCCACAGCATACAGAGATGTGCCTCCACACGGCTGGCCCCACGTTCCCCGAGGAGATGGGAGAGACCCACTCAGAGTACTCAGATTCTAGCTGTGGTGAGTCCCTTTCTCTTCCTTCCTTCTCGGTACCTGGGAGGAGGGAGGACCCTCTGCTCCGTGGAATTTGTGTGCTGCTGTCTCTGGGACATGACCAGGGTTATAAATCCATTGGTACTCACCATCACTGACAAAAGTTAGTCTCTCCCTCCCTGCCTCCCAGGAACGGGGCTGATCAGGGGTGGGTGTTGAACTTGGGTAACTGAGTGGCTGAGCAATCTTCAGCTTCACCCCAGCAACAGTAACTGCAGGGCTGCTGGGACCCCCAGAGCTTCCTCAGCCTGTTTGTGCCAAAACTACTGTACCGACCTGGATGCACGGTAGTGTTTCTTGGAAGGCTGTAGATTCTCTTTGGAGAAACTTCTGGCCTTAGTCATTCGTGTGTCTTTTACTTAGTTGGTTCCTAGCATGGAGGTGGTACTTAGAAAATGGTTGCTGAATTAAGTTAGTTGAACTAAGTGATTCAATTCACATTTCCGTATAGTCAGTGTTGGCTCCCTCAGTTTTTAACCCGGTAAAAAGTCTAACTCTAGAAAATACCTCGAGCAACTATCTTTTGTGACCAAGGAGATATATGATCAGGGTTAAATTGCAGGGATATTACCGCTCTCAAACTGTTGTGACAAAATAGAGAAGTTGCTGACTGCAAGCAGTGTGGCACCGGGCCACAAATCAGAGGGAGAACAGGGACCGTGCCCGCCTGACCTCAGATGACTGTTCTGCAATCCAGTTCCTGCCTCTGGGCTTCTGTTTCCATTTCCGCCATAACCTTTAGGGTCCTGTCTTTGTTGCAAAGATGACCACGGAGTCTTCGTCATTAATCTCTCCTGAAGGGACTTACAGACTAATCGGGTTAGATCTGGGTCTCGTGTCCCCATAATTTTGTCCTTCTTTCTCATAGTATAATGTGCTCCTGTGAGGAGGCAGGACAGGGATATTAGCCTGACTTGGAAGACCCAGAGAGGCTTAGGGAGTCTTGCCCCAGGGCTGCTGTGTATGAATAGAAGTTGAACTTTGAACTGATAAGAAAGCTTTCTCAGCGCTCCAGAAGGAAAAAAAAAAAAAGCTAAGGTGGCCTCAAATTGGTGAGGCCGTGTGAGAGCCCTAGACCTTGAGGTTCAATCTGTCTCCCATCTCTGTCCTTCACGACTAAATGCTAAGAAAGATTAAAAAACCCCACTGGTCCTATGGGTTCCCGTAAGTGTTGGTTAGGGAGTCCGGAGTCCAGGGTAACACTGGCCTGGTTCCAGAGAATGGAAGCTTCTGAGCTCTACCCTGCTGTCTACCTGTCTACCATGCTGATGTGGTTTCCCTCCATGCTCTGCAGAGAACGGGGCCTTCTTCTGCAATGAATGTGACTGCCGCTTCTCTGAGGAGGCCTCACTCAAGAGGCACACGCTGCAGACGCACAGCGACAAGCCGTACAAGTGTGACCGCTGCCAGGCTTCCTTCCGCTACAAAGGCAACCTCGCCAGCCACAAGACCGTCCACACGGGTATGGCCTTGTCCCACAGTGAGTGCTCCAGTTAGGGCTACAGACAAGGGGATCAACCTGGGGACTTGGTTGGAGTGAAACCAAAGACAGGCCCCACCCGGGCTTCGTCTAGGGCGGTGGTTCTCAACGTATGGGTGGCAATCCCCTTGGGGGTTGAGTGGCCCTTTCACAGGGTCGCGTATTAGATATCCTGCATGTCAGATGTTTACATTATGGTTCATAGTGGCAGCAAAATTACAGTTATGAAGCAGCAATGACAATAATTTTATGGTTGGGGGTCACCATAAGGTGGCAGCGTTAAAAAGGTTGAGAACCACTAAACTAGGGGCTTAACCCTGTCATGTCCCTGCCACTCCCCTTACCCTTCATGCTTCCTCTGAGATTGTGTCCTGCTTCCCTGCCTCTGCTAGGCTTGAGTGAGGAGACTAATGCTGGTAGAGGCAAAGTGGATTGGGTTTGGGTAGAGCCAGCTAAAAATAAAAACTGCTTGATGCCCCTCAAGGACTTATCAACCAACGTACAGTCTTTTTCCCAGGGCAAGTCTCACAGCCTCATTGTTGTGGGCATTAACTAGCTCTCAGACCTTCCAGTGGCCCCATTATCCCCGAAACTTTCCATGGTGGAAGGCTCAACCCTAGATTGGTTTCCTCTGCCCAGCTTCTGCTCAGCCCCACACCCCGCCTGGCCTGCAAATGGAATACAGCTGTAGTTGCCTGCCACAAGCGGAAAAGTATGTTCTGAGGGAGAAACTAGAGCCGCCTGATTGTATCTCCCTGGCGAGCGAGTGGATGATTGCATCAGTCTGTCCACGGGAAGAACCTGAAGCATCTTCCCAAGTCGTCTAAATCAGCCCTTCCCACTCAGGGAAACTGAGGCCCAGAGAAGGACAGTCTCTTGCTCAAGCCCTTACAGGCTGATGCCCTAATGACAACACTCGTTCTGCAGGTCGGGCTTCTCGAAGCCTCCCCCCCTTCCCCGTGTGTCCTAGGCGTAGCGCTGTTCACATCTCACCATGCCACTGCTTGTGTCTTGGCCTTGTCCCCTGCTGAGTGTGTGAAGGATGGCGGGTCCCTAGATCAGTGGTTCCCAGCCTACAAGTTGTGATCCCTTTGGGGGTTGAATGACCCTGTCACAGGGGTCACCTAAGGCTTTCAGAAAGCACAGATATTTACATTACGATTCCTAATAGTAGCAAAATTGCAGTTATGAACTAGCAACAAAAATAATTTTGTGATCGGGAGTCCCCACATCATGAGAAACTATACTAAAGGGTCAGAGCATTAGGAAGGTTGAGAGCCACTGCCCTAGATTCTCTCTCTGACTTCCCTATAGAGAAGGGAAGGCCTAAGTCGTCTTGGCCAGTTGCCTTGAAATTAAGGGGCAGCGTTGACCTTCATTAAATATGACCCCCCCCCTTGTCCATGTGTCTTGGCGACAGGTGAGAAGCCCTACCGCTGTAACATCTGTGGAGCACAGTTCAATCGGCCAGCCAACTTGAAGACCCACACGCGCATTCACTCTGGAGAAAAGCCCTACAAATGTGAAACCTGTGGGGCCAGGTTTGTGCAGGTGAGCAGGGCAGCATGGAGAAAGGGCGCCGTGGGGGTGAGGCCCTGGGCGTAGGCTGGCCTATGAGCACCCTGGCAGCACCTCTCACGCTGTGCTCCTCCTGCAGGTAGCCCACCTCCGTGCCCATGTGCTCATCCACACTGGAGAGAAGCCGTATCCGTGTGAAATCTGCGGCACCCGCTTCAGGCACCTTCAGACTCTAAAGAGCCACCTGCGCATCCACACGGGAGAGAAACCTTACCATGTAGGTAAACCCTAGCTATGGCTGCTGGATGCCGAGAGGGAGGGATGTGGAGCCGGAGGGCAGCAGAGGCATCTCCTCCAATCTTTAGCATACAGTGGACTAGTACTGTTCCAGAGGTCTTGATCTGAGCTTGATTGTCAAAGAAATCCCAGGTCTCAGTGTGTTCATCTTGGAAACAGAGGCATTGGTCTAGGTGACCTGGGCCTTAGGAAAGGCGACGTCATTAGGCTATTCATTCCACAAACATTTTCCGAGTGTCTCCATCGTAGCTCTAGACTAGATACGTGTTGAAGAGCATCTAAGATGTTAAAACAGAGCCTAGTAGGAGAGCAACCAGAGAAATATGGCAAAGGAAAACACCAAAGCCAGAATCAAAAATAAACCTAGAAAACATTGTTTCAAGGCAGATCGGGCTGGGACCGGAGGATGGTTCTGCAGTGAAGAGTACCTGCCGCTGTTCAGTTCCCAGCATTTGAGTTGGGTGGTCCCCAGCAGCCTGTAATTCCAGTTCAGGGGATTCATTCCCCCTCTTCTGGCCTCCCTGGGTCCTGGCACGCATATGGTGCACATATAGATAATCACGCACACATGTACATAAAAAATAAATGAAATTCAAGAGAAAGAGCAGGTGCCTTCATGCTTCGTACTGTGTCAAGGACAGGCTGTTGGAATGACTGTGTCCCAGAGCAGAGTCGCAGCAAACTACACCCCACTGGCTAAGTTTTGAATGTTGTGGACGCTAAAACTGGGACATTGTGAATTTTGTGAAATTTCACTTCCGTAGGACCCAAATAATATATAATTGGAGCGGAGCCACACTGATTTGCTTCCATAGCTTCTGAGATTGCTTTGATGCTTTGATGCATCCATGGCAGTGGGCTTTGAATGAGTACCTCTGTACTTGCCATTTGTCTCTTGGCAAATTGGTTATTTTCACCCTTAGTGCCTTAGTTTCCTCATCTGTACGAGAAACTACAGATCCAGAAAATAGTGCCTACTTCATGAACCAGCTGTATTTAGGTAACAATTCATTCAGTGCTTCCAGTTCCTCAAGCTCGTGGCCACGGCATGATCTGCTCCGATTTTAGTCACAGAGACAAGGACTGAGAGTGACATTTGGCACTGATTGGCCCAATCCCTTACCAAAGGGAAAGCTAAGGGCTTGGTAGATGACATGGACAGGATGCAGGGCAATGGTGGCACAGTTGGCGTGGACCCGGGCCGTTTGAAAACACATCTCCCAGACTCAAGAATCTTCACGAATTTAGGCCATCTAGTCCAACTGCACTGTTGCGTTCAGATTGATGCCACAGTTTTCTGAGGGTGCATTCTGCTAGATCGTAGGGAGACTCCAAGGTTTGGATGAGAAGTATTCACTTCAAAGTATTAGCCCCCTGATGAGGACATGAATGCACAGAGATGGTGGCGGGGCACGGCTGTAAATCCGAGATACAAAAAGAGATGGATGTTTATCTTAGGCTCAGAAATGTGTTACTCTTTAGGGGAGTTTGCATCGGAATTGTGTCTTGGATAAGATTTGTAATCATGCAGTTAAGTCAGGGAAGGGCGTCTCAAGCCTGGGAAACATGAGTGACCTGGAAGAGAAGGCAGGGACATTTTGCAATGTATACTTAACCTCCAGGGGAAGCCAGGATTCAAGTGAGTTCTAAGCCAGCCCTTTTAGAGGGAGGAGCTGCCTCCACCCCGCCCTCACAGAGATGGCCGGCTCTAGGATTCTGAGAAAGGACTCATTTCTTGAGTCGCTGACAGCTAACGTTTTGCTTCTGGTGTCTCTCCAGTGTGAGAAGTGCAACTTACACTTTCGTCACAAAAGCCAGCTGCGACTTCACCTGCGCCAGAAGCACGGTGCCATCACCAACACCAAGGTGCAATACCGCGTGTCGGCTGCTGACCTGCCTCCGGAGCTCCCCAAAGCCTGCTGAAGCATGGAGTGTTGACTCTTTTCTCCCTAGCCCTTTCTCAGAACCTCCCCAAAGGATGCTGTAACACTTTACAAAGGTCACCCCATGATGTAGTGCCTCTCTCATCCACTAGTGCAGATCATAGTTGGGGCGGGGGGTGGGGGTGGGGTTCGCGGGACGGGGAGCCAAGGCAGCTCCCTTTCCCACACTGCCATACAACATTAAGAAAATACTATTGCTTCTTCTCCTATATGTAAGGCAAACAAACCATGTCAGCAAAAAGCAAAATCATTTTCTATATCAAAGTAGGGGAGAAGGCAAAAGTCCTGACGTGACAGGTTGCAATGCGAGGAATGTAAACGTTCTGTGGGAACAGAAATCTCTTTTGTATGTAAATGTGTATTGTTTTCAAAGACAAGACTTCAGTATGTTGTCAAAGAGAGGGCTTTAATTTTTTTAACCAAAGGTGAAGGAATATATGGCAGAGTTGTAAATATATAAATATATATATATAATATAAATATATAAACCTAAAAAGATATATTGAAAATATAGAACTGCGTTAAAGGCTCGATTTTGTATCTGCAGGCAGACACGGATCTGAGAATCTATTGAGAAAGAGCACTTCAGAGAATATTTTAAGTATTGCGTCTGTATAAGTAAGAAAATATTTTGTCTAAAATGCCTCAGTGTCTTTGTATTTTTTTGCAAGTGAAGGTTTACAATTTACAAAGTGTGTATTAAAAACAAAAAAGAACAAAAAAAAGCTGCAGAAGGAGAAATGTATACTTTTGTTCCAGTTTTCAGTTTGTATATACCTGTAACGTGTCCTCACGGTGCCTTTTTTCACGGAAGTTTTCAACGGTGGGCGAGCGTGCGCCATCCCTTTTTGAAGTGTAGGCAGACACAGGGACTTGAAGTTGTCACTAACTAAACTCTCTTTGGGAATGTCTGACTCCTCCCACATTCTGCGTCATGCTTGTCGTTATAATTACTCCGGAGACAGGGTTTGGCTGTGTCTAAACTGCATTATTGCGTTGTAAAATATAGCTGTACAAATATAAGAATAAAACGTTGAAAAGTCAAGTGAGATTTCTCTGAAGATCTATCTTTGCGTGGAAATCCAAGCGGCTCCGGCCTCCGAGAGTTCATATTCCGGTGGGAACCGTTCTAGGAAGGGGGGGGGGGCGCTGGTCGGTGAGATGTTGAAGAGGCGGGGCGTTGCTTGAGGGTAGACTGGGGTTTGTCCTGTTTCTGCCTAGGTCAGGTGGAGAATTTGAATCCCCTAGCTCTGGGCTGCGTGCTGCGTGCTAGCCCTTGCGCTATAGACACAAATGTTTCCTAGTCCCTCTCCGCTCTGAGTTTCAGTTAGTTACTCTTTTCTAAAGTGAGAGGGCCCATTTTGGCCCTGGCTTCGTAAACAAGTTTTCTTCGCTTGGCTATCCAGGGCAGGTCAAAGGCATCCGACTTAAGTCACACACTTCTCAGCCTCAGTGCGTTTGAGGTCTCCTGGGTGAGACCAACAGACAGTTATAGTCTTAAACGCTTTCTGATTGGCCAGAAGCCAAGCCAGCCTCTGCCCCTGTGCTGGAGCCCGGCCACCTCTCCTGTGTGTGCTGGCTCACCATTTTTACCATGGCTCTGTGTCCCAGCTTATCCAAGAGGCGACTGGGTTAACGAGACCTTTTATGAATCCGTGATTCAGATGTCAGTTCACACTGGCCTGATTTGGCATCCATTTTTGGTTTACCTCAGAAAACCCCAAGGACCAAGTTTGATTGGCAGGATCTGAGAACTGGGAAGACAAGTGTGGTTCTGGTCATGGGCCCAGAAGAAAAAGCCGGCATCCCCTTCCTGTTCCTGGGTGGCAGTGGAGAGGGGACATGTGCCCACTGATCAGCTCTTGGCAGTGACTTTGCAGCAGGCTCTGAGCACGTGTTGGAAGCTGGAGGAGCTGACCACCCAAAAGCCCCAGAGAGAGCTTCAGAAAGTCACACCACCCTCTGCCAACCGCACGGCCTTGCAGCTCAGGTTTCCTTTGAAAATGACTTTAAAGGACTTGCCAGCTCAAGGCCTCGACTCACCCTGTTCTTTGGAAAGGGAGAAAATGATCCCTCGGCTCCCATAGAAACCTGGCAGGCGAACTTAGGGAATAGACAGCTTCGGGAATGACAATTCACAGGCCGGAGGGAGGCTGGCCTCAGGCTCCTTTCGCTCCTGAGAGTCTGTTTTTGTATCATTACTATTTATGAGGGAGACTGAGGGGCAGACAGGGAGGGCGGTGTTCCGACAAAAGGGAGATCAAAGACGGAGCTGCTACAGTCAGCTGACGATTAATAGTAAGTAAAAAGAAAACATCTCTAAACAGAGTCATTAAGAATACAGCCCGGAGCAAAGGGGAGAGAGAATTTTATTACAAAAGCATGGAGTGAATCCATTTTCATCTTTAAAAAAAAAAGTTCTCAGAAACCAGGCTATAAATGATATTCTCCACATCATGGAAGGGTTTGGGGGCAAAGGTTTGTTAAGACCTCAAGTTGAGGTGTGTATTGAGGTAGGTGTATTAGCTTTTGTTGTAGTTTGCTTTTCATTGCTGAAATAAAACACTGACCAAAAGCAATTTGGGAGGAAAGGGTTTATCGGGCTTACACATCCTGATCACAGTCTACCATGAAGGAAGCCAGGTTCTGGGACTCAAGGTGGGAACCTAGAGGCAAGACAAGAGACAGAAAGCAAGGAGGAACACCGCTTACTGGCTTGTTCCATGGGGCTTGATTGGTTTTCTGTCCAATGCCACCCTAGCCCATCTGCCCAGGACGCTCCCACAGCAACACAAATCAGGAAAATGTCCCCCAGGCCAGTCTGAGGGCAGCATTTCTCAGTTGAGGTTCCTACTTCCAGATGACCCTGGCGAGAGTGGAGTGGGCAACTGGACAACCCAGACTTCTTTCCGCTGTGGCAGAATGCTCAACACAGCAAGGAAGTGTTGACATCTTTAAGCTCACAGCTCAGATGTTTCTGTCCATAGTCCTTGCTTCTGCTAACTCTGGGCCTGCGGTGAGACAGGGTACCATGGTGGATAGGAAGCAAAGAGAGAGAGAAGGACAAGACACAGTTTCAAGGGCATGCTTTGGCGTGACCTATTTCCTCCAGCTAGGCCTCAACTTTTAAAGTTTCCAGAACCTTCTAAAATAGTGCCACCAGCTGAGGATAAGCCTTTAAAACCATAGCTTTTGGTTGGGCTGGGGGCTTGACTGTACATCCAAGTCACAGCAGTAGACCTATGGACGTGACTGAGGAGACACAAGCAGACCTGTTTAGGAATCGGAAGACATGGAGGAGAGAGAACCCTCTAGTTCAAGCGTCTCCTGTAACCCACGAGGGGAACTGGAGGAAACAGGTCGGCTGCCATTCACTGACTGGGCAAGTACGGAGACCAGACTCCTCCTTACCCCAGCCCTTGGGAAGAACAGGTGTGCGTTCTGATTTAGTAATAACTACATGGCAGGTCCAAGGTCATGTAGCTAAGTGTCCAGCTTGCCTGAGTTCCCACACCCAGCTATTTGTAGAACTTCAAGTTCAGTCAATGGTTAGGACTAAGGATCTCGTTTTCATTTCTTTGTATCCCTCACAGCAGTAATTAATAAGAAATCGTCTCATGTTCGTCCAGAGGCATGCTCAGGAAAACAAGAGGGGAAGAAAACCAGGAAAGAGCTGGCCCCTTGGGCACTTGTCAGGCCACATCAATGGCAGAGCCCCAAAGCAAGGCTCTCAAAGCAAGATGATCTTCCAATACTGAGTTCTCTGGAGCTTACTATTATTTGGAGGTTCCTGGACTTACGTTTCTATGAACCTGGCTATTTTTTGTTGTTATTATTATTATTATCATTTTACTTTAAAAAATACCAATCCAAATTCCCACTTTCTCCCCTCCTCCCTCTTCCCTCCCACTCCCTCCACACACCCTAACCCCACCCCCTCCAATCTTAAGAGAAGGCAAGGCACCCTGCCCTGTGGGAAGTCTAAGGCCCTCCCCACTACACCCAGATTGAGCAAGGTATACATCCAAAGAGAATAGGATCCGAAAAAGCCAGTACATGCAGTAGAGACAAATCCCAGTGCCATTGTCAGTGGCCCCTCAGTCTGCCCCAACCATCAACCACATTCAGAGGGACTAGTTTGATCTCATGCTCATTCACTCCCAGTTCAGTGGGAGTTGGTGAGCTCCCATTAGCTCAGCACATTGTCTCAGTGGGTGAACCCCTCATAGTCTTGACTTCCTTGCTCATACTCTCCCTCCTTCTGCTCTTCAGCTGGATCTTGGGAGCTCAATCTAGTGCTTCAATATGGGTCTCTGCCTCTGTTTTCATCTATTGTTAGACGAAGGTTCTATGGTGATATTTAAGATAATCATCAGTCTGACTACAGGGCAAGACCAGTTCAGGCACCCTCTCTATTGCTTAGGGTCTTAGCTGGGGTCATCCTTGTGGATTCCTGGGAATTTTTCTAGAGCCAGATTTTTTATTAACCCCAAAATGGCTCTCTCACTCAAGGTATCTCTTTCCTTGCTCTCAACCTGTCCTTCCTCCAGCTCAACTATCGCATTCCCTCAAGCTCTCCCTAACCCTCCCCTTCCCCCTTCTTTCCCCGTCTTCCCTTCCTTCTGCTCCTGCCCCCAGGCTCCCAAATTTTGTCAGAGCCTGGCTATTTCTATTATAAACAACTGTTTATAATAGGGTACCTGTGTCTAGCACCTTCTCTTTACATGATCTAGTCAGTGTGACTCCCTATCTCCTGGAACCAGAGCACAGTTTATGCTGGCAACAAGGCTTTATGGATATTTTATATTTCATGTTTGATCTATCTTTGGGTTTAAAGCTGTTTATTTACCATGTTTTTATTGACATAACTACTTTAAAATATATCAAGAGGGTCATTTACTGGTTTCTGAAGTAGCAAAGGAGAAACTATCTACCGTCAAACTACTAAACGAGAGGACTAAAAACTGTTAAGTAGTAACACTGCTCCCCCTTTTGGCTAAAGGCGAGTGTGAGACTGTTAAGTCATGAAACATTTTGCAGTGCTCCCTTCAAATGTAGCAAGGAAGCATACATCCATTCGTCACAACTTGATCATTTTGTGTTAAGGACTGCAAGGAACAATACCCCGAGGGGCTGGAGAGACTGCTCCACAGAGAAGGCTTGCTGCTCTTTCAGAAGACCTGAGTTCAGTTCCCAGCATCCACATCAGCTAGCTCACGTTTGTCATGGCTACTCCAGGGGTTAAAAGAAAGAAAGAAAAAAAAGGAAGGAAGGAAGGAAGGAAGGAAAGAAGGAAGGAAGGAAGGAAGGAAGGAAGGAAGGAAGGAAGGAAGGAAGGAAGAATACCCTGAAAGATAGTGTCCGACTTTGAGAAGTAGTTTACAAGAGTTATGTTAACAGTTTCACATTTAATTATAGTATTACAATGAAAGGTTGCATTTCACAGTGGATTGGTAGAGCTGATAACTCTGTGACTTTTCATAAAGAATGCACACACTTTTTTGCCATAGCTTTCCCATGGCTCCTATCCTTTTGGGTAAAATTCATTTCAGTTTTAAATTAAACCAAAGTTTGCAACTGGTTACAATGAACAATACAGTGACTGCTGTTGGAGGGTGTGTGTGTGTGTGTGTGTGTGTGTGTGTGTGTGTGTGTGTGTGAAATGTGTGTGTGTTCACCTACATGTGGGGACCCCTGTTTATGTGGGTGGCGGCCATAGAGTTTATCTCAGCTGTCTTCAGTCTTTTTCCACGTTATTTATTGAGGCGATGCCTCTGACTTAAACTCAGAACTCCCTGATTTGGCCAATCTACCTAGCCAGCTGGCCCTAAGAACCCCCTGTTTCCATCTTCCAAGTGCCAGGGTTCCAGACAGCTACTAAGGCAACCTGACATTTCTGTGGTTGCTGGAGATCTGAACTCCCCTTGCCACACTCACACGCCAGTTGTTTTACCAATGGAACTACCTCCTTGGCTGCATGTCTAACTTTCTTAATAGTGGCTGACATTTGCTGCATTCCTTACAAAAACATACAAACCTTGGTCT